AGGTGCTTGGCATCAAGTGTCACTTGTATCACCCAGCTATTAGTGGGCTGCATCCCTTGCTAAGGCCTGGGAGCCCAGTCCTTGCCCATCATTGTCTGTCAGAGACTGCCCTCTATAAACCTAGCCAGATCCATCCTGAGGGATAATAACTTCTTGTGATTTTTTGCCCAGCTTCTCCATACCATAAGCCTCCTCCAGATTCCTGCTGCTCCACTGATTAGGAACCATTCCAGGAGGCTGCTTCCTTAATTTTGAAACCTAGTGCAGAACATGTAGAAAATTAAGTCAATACCTCTGTTTCTTCCCATTTTTAAATGAGTGAAAATAGAAGTCTGGAATGACTCTAAAGAAAACCAGCAGTAACTGCCATGGGTCCGTGACCACCCAGTAGTGGAAAGGGGGGGAGGGTAAGTGTGGGGAGGCTGTTTTAAATCTGGAACTGATTGCATGCATTTTAGCACTTCCCTGCATGTTTGTTTCTATTTGTAATTTTTAATTTCAATTTTTATTTTTAGCTGTGTGTATTTTTATACTTTAACTCAACATATTGATTTATTTTCTAATTTTGCAAGCAATAGTGGTCATTACAAATGCATCTATTAAGAGCATGGGAATTTTAAATAAAATCATTACCTATCAAATACAAAAAATACACAACTCTGTAAGCACAGCTTGGGGATCTGGATATAGGTGTGATTTTTTTTTTTTTTTTTTTTTTTTTTTTTTTTTTAGAGGGTTTGGTTTTTGGGAGTTTGTGGAGAATTTCAAGTTTCTGGGTGGGCTGTCATAGATTAATGGCTTTATCTGCAGACTGCTGCATTTGGCCAATACATTCAGTGCACTCTCTCAGTTCTGTCCTTTTATAGAGGTCCACCTACTTATGCCATATTTTTCACTTTTTATTTCTCTCCAGGGTTGTTTCCTCATGCATCCCTGGCACTACTGCAGTCTTTCTCAGCAAACAGAACTACCAAGTGAAGCACAAAAAAAAATCTGAAAAAACAGAGGCCCCAAATGGATAATCTCACCAATTATTCCATGCCAGATTTATCAAATACCACATCCAAATAAGGTCAAACATGTAATTGTAATCTTCCTCAAGACACGCAACCAAACCCTTTGCACAAGCCTTGGTTTCTATCATGGGAACTTTAAACTGACTTCCAACAGTAATGGTAGAAAAAAGAAGTAATGTTGATACATTCTGAGCTATATACTCAACATGTCAAGGAGATCATTAGTGACTGACACCAATGATGTGTCACAGACAACAAGATGTCTCCTTTGCGCCTGTCCTTTACTGACATTCCTGTCACATCCTATTCACCAACCTTGTGCAGTGATCCTCTTGCACTTTGGATCAAAAAATTTCCATGTTATTGTTAGTGGGACTTGTGTATCGCCATCTTGTTCTATTTTTCACACAGTCTTGTATGTATTTTAATCACTTGAATGAGAAAAGGTAATTCATGCCAGAAATTAGCATTTATATATATATATATATATATATATACCTGTACCTGTTTGAATAGCATCTTTTTAACAGGTTATAAGCCACAAGTCCCAGAGAGGGACTCAAAAATTCACTTAATTTTCCTGATTTCACATTTAAGTTTCCACATTAGCTATAAATGTATAAACCCATGTGGGAGCAGTTCCTATTTACCACATAGCTGAGGAGGCACACTGCTCTTTTTTTCTTTCACCATATGGCTGAAGTAACTAACACACAAGCAATTTGTTCTGATTCAGCTGTTTCAGCAGGAAGGATTTGCAGAAGCAGGATTGGGAAATACACAGGATTCTCTTTCACTTCCGTGACAGGAGTTACATTTTTAATTAGCTCCTGTTAGTTTTCAGAAGGCAGCTTGTAAAAGTTTAATTCTATGCCTCAAATTAGAGTCCCATTTCTGGTTTCCAGAAAAGTCAGTTCCTTAGCAAATTTTGTGGAAGAAAAGTAAGAGATTTGGAAGTTCTTTTCTCCCAGGATACTCAACTTACATGAAGCTTATTGAAGATATAGAGAAGAGAGGGTAGTGATTAATATGGCACTTCATTGAAATCCTAAGAGAACCAGCTATTGGGAAGATCTTATATAGTATGTGCTTATCATTTAAAATGTCTGAAGGTCCCAGGTTTGTACCCTGGGAAGTAATGACAAAAAAAAAATGTCAATGAACAATGGACATGAAAAACCTGTAGGCTAGTGTATTCTCTGTTACTTGCTTACACAATAGTATCAGTAAAATCAAGACAATCAGATGTACTTAAATCTGACAAATAAAAAGAAAAAAACTGAAAAGGTCAATTCGAAATAAATATTATTTGGTGAAAAAGTAGCATTTAATTGTATGCATTGACTAAAAATTACAAGCAATATAAGAAATACAGGAAAAGTGTAGAACATAAACCAGCCTTATTAATTTGCAGTGATCCCCTGAGAATTTAAAATAATATCTGCCAAATGTATATAGTGTTACACATGTTTACAAGGGGGAGCACAGCATCCAAAAGACCTCCAAAATGTTCTGAATTTGTAATTTATATAGGATCATGTGGGGGATATATTTGGTGATGCCTTAAAAATCAATTTCTAACACAGCATTCTGTCAGAAGTGCTATGGTTGAGAGCCTGGGAGAGAGCATCCCTTAAATGTAATTGGCTCCTCAGCTTTCAGTTTAATATTTAAGCTGTTTCTAATTGTGTTCAGTTGAAACTTGGCATCCAGTTTATGGGCTTGGATGCAATTTCCATTTCAGTGAAAAATAAAAAGGGGAGAAAAGAGGCAAAACTTAAATCTGTTCTTTTCCTGGAGTGCTTAAGTGGTAAATAAGGTGAAAGTTTCAATCTCTTTTCCCAAATTTGTTCAAGTGTGATTTCTTACCCAAAACATATGCAATATCATTCAGTGTAACACAATACAAACACATGGATACATAGACAAGAACTAATCAAAATATTCAATTTTGAACCTTCTTCAAGAACACCAAATTAGGGTCTTGTTCATGGGGGGAAATATGTGTGTTAATGACTAGAAAAGGAGCTCTGCACACATTGCAGGAAATAGCATTAGCCTTCCATCAACATTAGAAAACTAAAGTGAAAAGTCAGACTCAGAAACAAACCCTGATGTGGGCTTTAAAAGAGCCTCTGAACTGTTCTCAGTGGGTAGGTCCCATGCTGCATTTCACACATCACTGACCCCCCAGGCACTGCTGGCTTTCCTCACCCTTCCATCACCAAAGACTGCAAGGCATATTTCAGCCTATAGGGCTTTGAGGGAATAAAATACCTCTATCTACCTCCAAAGTGACAATAGGAGTACAGGGAAAAAAACATGGTGGAAAATTCAGATTTATGATTGTGACAGCTGTAGCTGGCCCCACAGAGCTGGTGGCTGGACGAGAGAGGTGCTCCCTCCTGCCCTTCCTTCTCCAAAGGCTGTAATGATGGCAGAAACACAAATTCTGCCATCTACAGACCATCCTTTGCTTAGGAAGAGCTGAGGCTTGAAATGCTCCCATTGGAGGAACAGACATCCAGCTTATCTCAAAGCCAAAAAGTAGTGCTATGCAGAGCTTAGCAGAAAAAGAGCCTTCATTAGCTCAGTCAGGACAGCACTAGTCCATCAGCAACTCCTGTAAGGCAGGCGAACAGCATCCCTGGCTTCCAGGAGTTTGCTTAGGCTTCATACTTCTTTTCTAAGCTTCTATAGGAGATCCCAGATGAGCAAGTAAAAAGATAGTCTTGAGCATCAAATGTATGGGGCTAAGGAGGCACAGCCTGTAATTGAGGAGCGAGGTCTGGGGGTTGTAAAGGGAGGGGGCAGAATGCAGACATTTCCACGCTTGACATCTGTGCTGATTTTACTGATTGCAGGAATAGTGGCCTTCAGGGCAGTTAATAAAAAATTATTAAGGATGAAACAGGACTGTGGCTACATTACTCATCCATTAACCGTCTGCACATGAGATCAGACATCTTTCCCCCTGAAGCAATCCAGCAATGGACTACAGTCTTTGCATGGGTGCTCTGCTCTTTGTGTTGTCCAAGAGAATTGCATTTTAAAGATACAGCAGGACTTTTACCAATTTTGTGGCTTTATTACAGTTTGTTTGAGTTTTGGTGCAAACTGCTGTGTTCTAACAGAATTCTGTATTATGTCCATTTTAATACTTATGTAATTTAGCATGAGTATGGAAATCACAGGAAATACCTGCTTGGTGTATAATGGCTGGTCCTTACTTGGCTGTTGCTAAACTCCAGGATAAGACTTTCTGTGTACTTCAATATGAACTTATAAAGTGTCTCACTGAAATTGCACAGCCTACAGTAGTAGTTGTGAGAGCCAATTTAGCTCTGGCCTGAGCACGTAGAACACATTCACTGAGATGAGTGGAAGATGATCTGTCCTTGGCCAAGGATAACACAATGTAATATAAGTTCTTTCAGTAAGTGACTGGCAAGTTGATTTATAGCAATTTCTGAGAAACCTGCTGTAGCTTTAGGAATAACTTAAGTAGGCAGACACATGTTGAAGAGCTTGCCTGATGCTCCCCACGGGAATTTTTAAAGCCCCTGGTGGCGGTGGGGTATTTGACTCCTGTTGACACAGAACTCTACTAAGTTTCCATATTTGCCAGCTGTAAGTTTAAATTTCTCCCCTATGATTTCCCAGAGGCAGGAACAACAAGCTCTTCCCAGTGAATTTAGTTGGGAGCTACAGAGAACTGTGAAAATCAGTCTAGGTAGTCAGATGCCTCAATTAGAACTCAGAGGCACGTCTTGCCAATTAGGATTTGCCTTTCAGGGGTGTTCACCTGATAAATTTCTGTCTCCTGGAGCATGTCCATAGTCACAGAGAGGGGGAAGTTAATAAAAACATACAATTTCTTGTGGAAATGTAACCACAAGAAAAAAAAAAAAGCGATGTTTTTAAAACAGTTTACCCAAACACTGTTATTAATGATAATAGTTGTCATTGTCTGTACATGATCATATTGATGGTTTCATGATGGAAGAAATACTGCTCAACAGATGACAAGTTCTGTTTGGCCAAGGAGAAAAGAAGAGACGTAAAAGAGACCATTAAAGACCGACACAGTCCCGATGATGCATCACCATAAAATCATTTGCAGGTGTACACAAGTCTTGCCACTCCTTCACGCCCAGTTTCTGTATGCAAGGTCATCCTCCTGGTGCTACCTTAGAAACTGGCCTTATTCTATAGAGGACATTGAATGATAACACTGCGAGTCAGCTGACTGCTGTGTCACAGAGCTGCTGCTTTCTACATTATCGCAACTGCCAGAGCTCTTACTGCTGCAGTTTTCTAGTCGCAGTGCGGCAAAGCAGACGCATAGAACCAGGCAGAAAGCAGCATAGATTTTTTTTTATTCTTATCTTTTTCATACGAGGGGAATATTCCTGGTGTTAGCGTAGGAACAGACACAGCTTGGATGTGTTGGCTTCCGCCTGGCAGCATTTTCAGCTGAGCAGGGATTGCTCGGAGCTCTGTACCCAAATTGCCTCTGAGGAAGAACGCCTGATTTCCCACTTTGCGTACTAAGAGAGTTTTTTTCTTTATGCTACAGTGATGTACCTGCAGCAATAGGACAAAGGAGATGCACTTGTCACTATCTGTCCGACTGGGGCCTTTTGCAGGTACTCCACGGCTGAAGCTGTGCCAGCATCCCAGGGTCAGATAGATTGGTAATACAGATTGCTGCAATTTCTTACATCAGTTAGGGCAAAGCTCAAACAAGAAACCAGACTCTCTGACCTAAATCAGTCCCAGTCCTTCTGGATACAGGGCAGCAGTCGACTAGCAATGACACAACCAGCCATCAAGTGGAGAGTCTCTGGGATTGCAATCTGTATCAGTTGGAGCCTGAGAGAATGAAACCCTTTCGGGTATCCAGTCGCTTCTTCTTCTAATACTACAAATACTACAACTGCAGCTACTACTACTGCTACTTCTGTTTTTCTTGCCTGTAAGAAGCTGTTAATTGCGGTTGGTCTCTGCCTGTACATTTGCGTGGATTAGTCTGTCTGTCTGTAATGCAGTCCTTATCTGCTCCTGCTGGAAACCGGGGCACGAAGTCAGCCTGCTTTAACAGTTGTTTCTTTCTGCGTGATGCTATGCAACTAGAATGGGTTACACTGACAACAAAGGAACAAGCACAAAGCACCACTATCGTTGCTGGACTGTTACAGGAACATAGCTCTTCTTCGATATGACACCCTGATCTCTTCTCTTTGCTGGGTTTTTATTTTTTTTTTTAATTTAATTCATCTAATCAAAGAGCCTAACAGACACCATCATGAATGTGGCTTTTAATGATTTGGAAAAGACAGCCTGTGGAGACTGCGATTTGAGACAGCAACACATTTAGGTTATTGCCAATTTTAAATACTTGGTTTGTGAAGCACAGCCCTAAGGGACGAGCTCAGTAACTGAGGGAGAGATTGTAGATAAAGAAATAAAAATGACAAGCGTAATGGAGGCTCTGCAAAAGAGACTGTCAGAGAATCAGTTCATGGATGGCAATTTCACCAGTCTGAATCTGAATAATTCATAGATTGAAATTACCCTGCTTTCACCTTTCCATTTAAACCGGCATGATCTGAATCTCTAATAAATTTTCAAGATAAAGTAAAATGCCAATTTGAATCTGAAGAGCTTTTAAAAACAGATGCTACACCCTGAATCTTTCGATACCTTTCACAATTATCCTGTGAGAACCGCACTTCATCACGAAGCACCATTACCAGTGAAAATTACTGTGATTACAATAGCAACAATAGAATACCATCAAATGATCTCTAATCTACCTAATTTACCAAGGCTGACTGTGTGCCCATTGTGTTTCACCACGTCTGGCATTGGATCAATATCACAGTGGAACAAAAATGCCTTAGTGTGCGCTTCCTTTTGGTACCTTTAACTTTGACAGCACAGGAAAAAAATCTACCTGCTGTTAAATGTTTTTACAGCCAATCTACACGCCTGCTGTACGATCTGATTGATTCTCTATGATTTTCTCTAGTTCTTGGGTATCAGATGTCTTTGTGTTACTAATTAGTTTAAAATGTATACTCATGCACAAAGACTGCAGCGAGTGCCAGCACAGGGACCCTGCACTGCTGCTGCAGTTGTAGCACTCTCACTGGGGAAGCCAAAAAGAGTTCGGTGCCTTATGTGAATAATTACTCCTGTCTGAGTTAGAAATGCTTTGTGGCATCACCGGTCTTGGTTGTACGACATGAAAAATGTATGCAAAAGCCATGGTCAAGGGAAATGATTGCGTGTAATACTAACAAGATTTTCTCCCCATTCAGCAATTAGCATGTGGTTGTGAGAGACAGGCTGTGGCTCCTTCTGTGTGTGTGTGTGTGTGTGTGTGTGTGTGTAGGTATGCATGCACATACGTAAATGTAAAGCTACTGTGCTCTGTGAATGAATACGTGCTGATCTCTGAAAGTAACAACTTTCTCTGACAAGCCAGGCGCTGTTTTGCCGCATTCTGCTCAGTTGTAACAAATCCCTCTTTTGAAGGTGTAAATTTCCTATAGGATGATGCATGACTTCTGGAACAGTAAGTACCATTTATGCAATATGTTGGTGGCTACAGCTATGCTGCAGAATAGTATTTTATGCATAGTTTGAGTCCTTGTAGCATAACTAGAATGTGAAGAAGTGAGAAATGTACAGAAGGCTAGAAGCAGGCATGGAGGCGACTGTATCTGCTGTTTGTATGTGTGTGAGTTGTACACTTAGGGCTTGTTTTTAATTTTATAATCAGATTTACTCTGCCTTCACGGAATATTTTCTAAGGGAGGAAGGTAAGCAGTATTTCTTCTTATTTCTATGGCGATGTGTTTCTGTTAAGGGAAATGCAGCACAAAGTTTACAGCACAGAGTTATATAATACAGCGTGATCTCATGACATCTAATTAAATGTTTTAATATTTGTTCATGTTAAAACTGGGCAAGAAAGCATATTTAAAATATGTTTTTTTAATTGAAAATACACTTCTAGAACTACTATGAAAAAGCAATTTACAGATTTTGTTTGCATTCATTTTTTGCTCTTTACTGTTGTTAAATAAGTGCCTATTCTACCTAAATACTAATGGTCTTGAAACCTTCGTTTTTTATATATTTTGTATTTTCAAAACACAATTTACTGTATTTCTAAATTCTCTGTATATTAGTGGAGACTGTTCTCTAGAGGTAGAAGAGGCAAAAGGTTTTATAGCTTGAGCTGTGATAACAAAGGAACTTGAAAGGGCACAAAATATGATTATACAAAAGTTTCAACATTTCAATGATTTAGTACGGTGATTTAGCAAAATGCTGTTCTTGGACAACACACTCTCAAGATAGTACACTATCTGGAAATAATTAGTCCATTCAATGCTGTCTTTATATTCTTCATTTTCACATAGTATTCGAAACTTAACAAAGAAAAAGCTGAGAGCAAACACTGAAACTTTGGTAAAAATGTAACACGTACATTATGTTACTGTGGTAATAAAATCAAGACATTCGGACTGAACTCTGCTGAAGAGAACTAGTCATTGTGGTTTATTTTATGAAGGGCATTTATGTTTTTATGTACAGAAATATAAAATACACTGGTATAACTACTATACTGCAAGGACCATGCAAACAGAAATGTGAATATTTTACAAAATACCGTACAAGTACCTGGCAGCATTTACAGTATTATTGTTACTGCCACACTCCTCTAGATTCATATGCATGGAAGTAATGCATGGAAGTCATGGTCTGTTAACCAGCTGGATTCCACGGGGTGTTTGCAACCCTAATATTTTTATCAGTCTTATGTGCTGCAACAGCCTGTAGAAAGCAGCTGGCCATGGGGTGCAAGGTGTCCTCACTAACAAGTGCAGAGCAGAGCTAAGGGAGAGCTCATAAGCCATTGGTGGCTTCACATAAGGGCCCAATCCAAATCCTTCTGTGGAACCACACTGGAGTCCTCTAACTTTGTGTTTCTGTTATTGAACTTTAAACATGCCACTGGTTTTCTCCCATTGCTCCATACTGGCCGCACATTCCAAAATATGCAGTGCTGGTCAGGCCTAATGCTGTTTGCTAGTGTGAGCCCCTGCAGGATTTGTCAGATGCTGTTAGGACAGCACACTCAGGAGTTGAAAGTATTAAAGAGACTCTGCTAAAAGTACTCTGGAGAAGTTTGGAAACCTTGGGAAGTGAACTCTGCCCCTTGGGGTGATGTGTGTTTCAAAGGCAACAGGATTGCAGCCTGTCAGCAGGATACACTGCACACACAAATGGGAAAAAAAGCCTTTAAACCTTTCCAGATTCAGGAAATATTACTTAATAGCAATATTACTGAATAGAAAGTTTTAAAATGCAGTGAAGTTATATCATCCACGTATTTTCTGTATTTTCTATCAGATAGCTATAGCTGGAGTGTTTAGTATTTATAATTGTATGTGTCAAAAAAATGGCAGACTGCAACATGAAACTTCTAAAATAAAGCTACTAATTTCAGCAACAGGGATTCAACTGTTAATATACATAATATCAAAAGATATATTAGTCTGTTTTTATGCCTGCTTTTCACTGTTTTACACTCGTTTATAAATCAATCTCCAATGGCAAAGGAAGGACAAAATCCTTCTTTACATGAGTTCCCAACTAAACACAGTAAAATTTCCCCTCCAGTGAAATTACTCCCATGCATTTGGTGGACCTTTATCTGCAACTAGGCAGCAACCATGACGTAACCGCACACATGAAAAACATATTGGAGCCCATTCAATTACCACAGAATTTATTAATAAGTCTCCCAGTGCCATCAACATTAAAGATAGATCCATTAATTTCCTTCCATTGCATCTTTTTTATGAAAGTCGCTGTTATTTTGTTCTCCTTGATTACAAGGGTCCTGTATAGTTGATACAATGCTGAATAGAAGATCCTTTCTGTTCACCAGGACACAAGACCTGAGCCAAACATACACTGAAATCAGTATCTCAGGATAGGTTTATTTGTCAACTGACAAGACCTTCTCATCTGTAGTCGATAATATTTGTTCTCACTTGCTTGTCAATTCTGAATTATCATCTGCTATAAAACACACAAGTTCTAACCTGTAATCGTTGTATCTATTTGGACAAGAGCCCTGAGGATAGGGGGTCTGTTATGGGTTTCATTGGTTTTGTTTTTCACTGTACTGTTGCTTTGAATTAGTTGCAACTGCCTATGGAAATATGATCCCTTAAGAATGTAGAGAAATACATTATTAATGATTATGTATGAAAAATTGCTAGATTCTCCTGCCTTCTGGCTGCTATGAATTTTACACCATCATCCCCAAAGAAAAACATTAGGGAGAAAGTAAGACCGATGTAACTTGAAATTAAAACAGCAGCATTTCCAAACCAATCATTTTTGACACAGGAAATTCAGAGTTAAACAGAAGAAAATCCAAGTGGTTCACTGACACAATTAAAATACCTGAGCAGCTCCCTTCCTCTTTGATGTCATAACTCCAGGATGTGGCAGAGGTAAATAATTTTGCCATGTCCGTTTTTACTATACAGATTGGATCAAAAACCATCTTTGGCTTTAAAAGTATTTGCACTGCATTTCATAGTATCAGCTCAGTTTCTTTATAGACTATAAATGTACACCTGCTCTGTGCTTTTAGCTGTGTAACATTACCAGAAATTCTGAAAATCAGATGATTTCTCATTAATCAAAAGAGGGAAATGAAATCCTAAATGGGAATAGCAGAAGAAGCAATGGGTTTCCCAGGTCTCATGCCAGCAGAGATTCTTGCTGGGGCTTTTCCAGGTCAGGTTAAACTTCTTATTGTGTTAGAACTTGTTCTTAAAAAGCTCCCATAGTTAAAAATGAGCAGAATTCAAAATATGGCCAAAGTTTTGCCCAAAACCATAATGGATTTTTCTTCTTTTCTAACTACATTTGATATTATTTCTGCCACAGGTCTTGATTCAAAGTTTTCCAAGAAACTCTGTTCTAAAGAATATTTGCAGTGCTGTACTTCATTTGTAGATGGTCATGCATAGTGAAGCACACACAACAAATTAGTAGTTGTGGTAAATGCTAAACTGGCAAATTTTGTTAAAATAGAAAATATATAAATTGATACATTATGGTGTTGTCACGGTACTGTTCACTTATACTCAATATTTCACAGAGATAGTGCAGAAATAACATCAAATGCCTATGTTCATTCAAAACCCACCTCCAGTGGCACAGCAGTCACAACAGCTGGCTACCCCTCTAACCTGCAGGTAAGAAGTTTCACTGAGGCAGCCAGAGGATGAGATTCCCCATCTTGTGTTCCTAAAAGCAGTGTCCTGGTTGGTGGGGCCAGAGAAGAGGCAGGTGTGCAGAGGGGCATTGACGTGACACCCTTCTGACTCACCTACAAACCAAAAGTGGGAAAATGTCATTATTAAGTAGTTAAAGATGACTAGGAACATCTTTAATTTCTATGTTTTCAGAGGCAACTCTTCTGCAAATTTGTCAAATTGATACCTAGCACGACTATCTGTGTGCTGAAACTCCAAGTCACACAGAAATTTTAACCTGTCAATTGATATTGTGGAAAAAGGGTCCATAACCCAAGAGACTACACTAATGTTTACTCATATACAGTGTTATTTTAATTTGCATGTAAATGGCACTGCCTATGCCACTGCACCCATCATGTCTGTAAAGTGACCATATATTTCAGATTTGCCTCAAGCAGCTTCATCCCATTTAAAATGGCCTTTTTGGTAATGGGATTTTTGCTTTTCCTTTGAGTGACATAGGATGCCCTTTGTTATGCATGCAAGTAAGCAAGTTGCAAGTTGCAACTCTTTTTGTCAAAAGGTATAGTTTTTCCTCAAAGCTTGTCTGTACTAAACTTACCACCTTTCCATGCGGGGCAGCCTGCATCTGCAAGCTGATGGGGTTCATATGGTTATGAATTGCTTGAAGTTGTATTTTTTGTATTCTGTGTTTGTTTCCTTATATTTAGAAGTTGGAGTGCACCCTTTTGTCTGCCACAGAACTTAATGCTTCATCTTCTAAATGCCTCAGAGTGTGTGTGACTTCCTGAGCTCTCAGAGCAGAATCTAGAGTATGTGCAGGATGGATTTCATTGAGGAGGAAAAAAAATTTTAAAAGAATGAAATTTTCTGGTGCTTCTGATAATTTGCCTCAATTTAGACAATACTTGTAGCCATGATCTTTGAGTCTTTATTTTACTTTTGTAAATAAGTACCTCTAAACACAATTCTTTCACCTTATAGGGCACTTCATGAAAAGAATTTCTTTAACAAATGTGAGTCACATAATGAATCAGTAACAGTTGGGGGAAATCCTGATGGAAAGTAGTGCTCTCATCATTAGTGCTGTGTGTGGTAAATTAGGAGCAGGCTCTTCAGGAAATGAGGACAAAAAGGCGGAATTGCTGCTCATTAAGAGTTTGTCTTGAGCACAGAGTTCATGCTCTTTAAGAACAATAAGAACATCCTAAGTTTGTGTTTGAGATAAATACATATATATACACACACACATACATAACTT